ACGCTTGATTAGCACCACCAGTAGCTGCAGGTGTTTTGCCCTTACCACGAGAGGCGAAATTTGAGTCCAGCGGATTAACCGTCGGTTGGTTCCTCTCGGCCTTCTTCCTTCTAAGGAATCGCTCAGCCTGCTCCCCTCGGACCTTCAGATCCTTCCAAGTGTCAGACGGTGCTGTTCCCATTGCTTCCAACACGTCCAACGCAAGGTTGTTGTGGCAAGTTTGGAGGATGAATTCCTCTGTGATCGGGTCCCGGCAATTCATCGCCTTGTTCCGGAACCTTTTGACGAAGGTGTCGACTAACTCCCCGTCCTTCTGCTTCTCATCGAGCAATGATCCGATAGATATCTCGGTGTCGTCGTCGAAGAAGTTGGCCAGGAACTTGGTCTCCATGTCATCCCAGCTGTTCACGCTTCCTGGCTTGAGGCGGCGGTACCAATCGAAGGCGGCTCCGCGAAGAGTGCCGACGAATGACCGCACCATCAGAGGCTCATTGCCGGAAATAATACCCAGGTGCGATTTGAAATAAATCAAATGCTGAGTGGGGGAACCCTTCCCATCAAACGGCGTAAAGTTAATCAGACTAAACTTCGCCGGATAGGGGATCGATTCCCACTCTCTTGGGTATGGACAGGGAATGCCTGTTTTCTTCGTCTCTTGAGCGGAGATCAATGTGTTGATTTTGCTCTCGAGATCTTTGATCTTCAAGTCTTCACTTGTATCTTCGTTGGCATCCTCGTTACCACCCCCTGTATTGACAGGAGGGTTATTGGCATTGTGAGCTTCATCCCTTTCTGCGTGCTCCTTTTCCTGAACAATCGGGTTACGGCGGTTCGATTCACTTTGCTGGTTCCTGAATGCCTGGATTTGCTGCTCATGCATCTCTCTCATCTGCTGCATGGCCATCTCCATCTCGAATTTGAAACTTTCTTTCTGCTTAGCCAAAGCGTCTTCAAGCATCTTGGCCATTTCTTCCGCGCTTATCATAAATGACTCGCGGGGTTGTCCTTCGCTGGACACTGTATTGTCCGATGCGACAGCAGAGCAGGAATCCGATTCTTCATCTTCCGAAGGCAATCTTGTCCGAACCCTACCATAAGTTCCTCGTGCGATGGCTCCGGACTGCAGACGGGTTACACGCCGGGACGCTTCCAGAAACGATTTGAGATCAATCTGTGTCGATGTCTCTTTGCTGGTCATGTTGGCGGTGACCCTCGGAAATTCTCCGTCTTTAACCACCGTTCTTCTTTGCCGGAAACGCCTATGCCTTGGTTTTGGCGTTTCGGTGCCGAGCCTTTCGAACACTGAAATTCTCTCGGGGACTACCTTGATGCAGTTGCATTGAGACAGTACCGCCCGAATGAGCTTTGAACAAGGGCACTGAGTTTCCTGTTCTCGGGGACTCCTCTTTCTGGTTCTGTTCGTACCCCCAGCACGATAGTACAACTCGTCATTTTGACAGTCGGAGTAACCTATCGTGTGTGGGCACGACTTCTCAGGTATAACATTATCACTATCAGATGATAATGTTTCCATCTGAGGGCGAATTGCCTTCCTTGGACTTTCAAGAGTCACGCGCCTTGAGACATGCCTTTTTGGGCGTGAATTCTCAGCGGGCTCTTGGACCTCAATGCGCAAATTAGCGCGCGCAGTTGCCTTGAGCTCCTTGTCATGTTGGAGGTAGCGGTGACCCCCAGCGTGTTGATTCGTTCGGGGTTTTCTTAGTGGGCCCAAACGTTCTTGGATCGGAGCTTTGCTTCGCTCATCGGGAATAATGTCTGGATTTGTTGCTCATGCATCTCTCTCATCTGCTGCATGGCCATCTCCATCTCGAATTTGAAACTTTCTTTCTGCTTAGCCAAAGCGTCTTCAAGCATCTTGGCCATTTCTTCCGCGCTTATCATAAATGACTCGCGGGGTTGTCCTTCGCTGGACACTGTATTGTCCGATGCGACAGCAGAGCAGGAATCCGATTCTTCATCTTCCGAAGGCAATCTTGTCCGAACCCTACCATAAGTTCCTCGTGCGATGGCTCCGGACTGCAGACGGGTTACACGCCGGGACGCTTCCAGAAACGATTTGAGATCAATCTGTGTCGATGTCTCTTTGCTGGTCATGTTGGCGGTGACCCTCGGAAATTCTCCGTCTTTAACCACCGTTCTTCTTTGCCGGAAACGCCTATACCTTGGTTTTAGCGTTTCGATGCCGAGCCTTTCGAACACTGAAATTCTCTCGGGGATTACCTTGATGCAGTTGCATTGAGGCAGTACCGCCCGAATGAGCTTTGAACAAGGGCACTGAGTTTCCTGTTCTCGGGGACTCCTCTTTCTGGTTCTGTTCGTACCCCCAGCACGATAGTACAACTCGTCATTTTGACAGTCGGAGTAACCTATCGTGTGTGGGCACGACTTCTCAGGTATAACATTATCACTATCAGATGATAATGTTTCCATCTGAGGGCGAATTGCCTTCCTTGGACTTTCAAGAGTCACGCGCCTTGAGACATGCCTTTTTGGGCGTGAATTCTCAGCGGGCTCTTGGACCTCAATGCGCAAATTAGCGCGCGCAGTTGCCTTGAGCTCCTTGTCATGTTGGAGGTGGCGGCGACCCCCAGCGTGTTGATTCGTTCGGGGTTTTCTTAGTGGGCCCAAACGTTCTTGGATCGGAGCTTTGCTTCGCTCATCGGGAATTGGACCGAGGCGCTCCAAGACTGGCTTTCTTCTTCGGGAGGATTCTGCATGATCTCCCGGAGTAGCTATGGGAATTCTCGGCGACTTAGCTGGGTTCGCCGGAGGTTGAATTTTGGTTGGAGGCTGCAAAGGTTGCTCCTTAGCCTGAATTGCCGCTTCAGACTTTGGCCTCCAAACTTTGCGAGTTGGTGGCGGCTTCTTGGCCACTTCTTTCTGCAACTTTCTACGGGCTTCTTCGGCTTGAGCCCGTGCCTGCGCTGATAGTGCGCGGCGTTTGCGGATGCGTTCTTCCAGCGTCGAACGATTCCGTTTGACACGGACCCATTCCATTGTTGGCGGCTTGGAAGAGGCGCCGTTCATCTGTTGTTGAGGCTGTTTGCCTCTCTTGTTCTTCAGACCCGCGTTGTAGCGGACTCCGTCGGTGGACTCCATCGCTTTGGCGAATTGTTTGGCCAAGCGTTGGCGTTGCCTTTGGCGGGCTCTCTTTGAGAGAGTCACCGCTCCTTTGGTGACGGAGGAATTGGTTGGAACCAGCTTGATCTGGTTGGAGATTGGTGGAGCCTCATCTGACGCAACTTTGGCGTCAATCGAGATGAGGTCGTCGTTGGTAGCTTCAACTTCTTCGTACCAACGCACCTTTCTGTTGGAAGAGAACTTGGACTTCTTGGACTTGCGGGGGGAGGTCGATCTAGACGAGGATGAAAGGTACTCCTCGAACTTGGTCTGATCGAACTCGTATTCGACCTCCTCCACGACTGGGATCAAGATCCGGGCCGAGCCACCTTGAGGTGGCTCGGTTTCGGCCGAGCCCCTCCGGGTGTTGTTCGTTCCGTCATTTTCCGTTGTCCGGTTCTGTGTTTCGTTGTTGATCTGGACTTGATTCGGTTGTGTTTCTGTTGTGTGGTTGATTGACCTGGAAACGACTCGTTGACTTGATTCCAGATTTGGCAGTAAGTCCGGATCCTGATTAGGCAGTAAATCCACTTCTGAATCTGAGTCCGAAACCGATCTTGATTCGATCGTGATTCGTCCGAGTATGCCCTTGGTTGGATGACTCGTTGACTCTTCGAACACTTGGCTTGATCCCGCACGCGAATGGATGTATTCCGTTGCTTGCGTGCGATTCGTCAATCTCGTCGCCTCGTTGGTTTGTCGGTTCGTGCCGAGCTGAGCTAAGGGACCTATAAGCAATTTTATATGCCTACAATCCGTTGCCCGTCATTAATGTGCATATAATAACGACGGGTTTTAATCCCTTCGTCGAGTAATTACAAATAATAGAGAAATATTGTGATATGGGATAACGGTTTTTTAATCCCTTCGTTGATTTGATCCTACTACCGTCGTTATTGGGTCTCCTTAAAAATGAAGGGGTCCATTACCTTCATTGATGAGACTCCTAATCATAATTGGACTGAAATTAACCTATTTCTATTAACAAATCCCATAACCAAACCCGAAGCCCCAACTAAAACCCGAAACCGAATTTTACAAACCCACAAATCCTAATCATCCTCTAACCGCAAAAATAACGATTTAAACCCTAGTTAAAAAAATCCACCTCCTTATCATCATCGCCTCCATATCTCATCGTCCGCTCCCCCAGGTCGCCGTTGAGATCTCTTGCAGCAGGCAAAATATGTAGTGTATGACTAGCCAAGTGCTCCACATGCAAGCCTTTCGTGACGGCTTCGCCTCTCAGCGAGGAATCTATCTTCGATCGGGAGCGAAGGGATCAGTCCCTAATCCTCTCGCCGATGCTTCTCCTTAGATTCGGTATCTTTTTATAATTCTTCAATCTTTCTTTTTATTTAGGGTTTGAAGGGGTAGATTCTTGTCTGTAGCTGAGGCTGTTCTTTGATCTACTTGCTCCTTGATCTATTTGGTTGAGATTGTACTTTGTCGATTATTTTAGAAATTTTTGTTTATATTCAGATGATATGTTATTTATAGCTTACCGATGTGATTTTTTTCTTCTATTTATGTCATGCTTTTTGTTGAATCTGTTCCTTTAAGATTTGCTGAAATTTGATAGAAACTTGAGCTTAGCACGAAATATTAGCCCTTGATGATTTCTTACTTCATAGATGATTAACATGCTGTTCCAATTTATTTGTTTCTTTAACAATAGATTGATTCGTGTGATTTTTCACTCTGCTTTTGTGTGGAATGGTTAGGATAGAGTCATGTATGATTACCTTTTGACTAGAGGCCTTTTCGCTTGTCATGGTTAATAAAGTTTAGCTATTATGTTTGAAATTTTTGAAAGTATGTGGAGACGTACTATAAATATCAATGTTCTTGAATATCTGATGGAAGTATTATCATGCTTTGCTAATTTCTCTAATTTTGTATTTCCAATAAAAACCCTATTGTTGATCTTCATGTTGATCTCTTTTATAGATTCCTAAAAATATCAATGGCCTCATTGAATATAGAGCGCATCCTTTCTGGCTTCAAAACTATTTTCCTTCTCATGAGGTCGATTGTACTCCATGATGTTGCAGTTGTGAAAGAATGGAGGTCAGTCAATTTACTTCTTGCAAAGACGACTTCATTATAGGCTGTGAATTATGGATTTGTATCCATTTAAAACCTTAATTTAAGAATTGATATTTTTTGTTAGTGTTTTTCTTTTTTAGCTCGCTTGACAAGTGCATGTCCTTCATTAGCATGATGGCTTATTTCATTTCATTCAAATTTTCATTTAACTTCTGTCCGGTTCAACTTTACTTTGGAGCATGTATCACTGAGGTATTATTTGCTGCTATAGTTTCTTTTCTGTTTAATTTCATATGAATTTTCAGGCAAGAGATACAAAATATGTGGCCCTTGATGATGGGAGGAAGCTATGTCTAGAATGTTTGGATTCTTCAATAATGGACACCAGTGAATGCCAGCCTCTTTATCTGGATATACAAGAATTTTATGAAGGTTTGAATATGAAAGTGGAACAACAGATTCCATTACTTTTGGTTGAGAGACAAGCCCTTAATGAGGCCATGGAAGGTGAAAAAAGTGTAAGGCATCTGATACTTAAAAAAACATTGCATACATTATATTGTTAAAATTATCATATAGTTTCTTATTCCTTCCTGGACCATTTTCCATTTCAGGGGCCTCATCATCTCCCTGAAACTAGAGGTCTCTGCCTTTCTGAAGAACATACACTCAGCACTGTAAGATTTGTCAGTAACAACTTTAATGTGGATTCTATGTTTTACTTAAAAATATTACATTTATATTGAATAGTGTATAATTCATAAATAAGCTAAACTATTTTTTGCATCAGATTTTAAGAAGGCCTAGGATTGGGGCTGGAAATAGAACAGTGGATATGATCATAGAGCCTTATAGGCTTACACGCTGGTGTGAAGTAACTGCAATTCTTATTCTGTATGGACTACCAAGGTATTGCATATTTAATTTCACTTGGTATTCTTTTATGGTCTCATCGTGATGCATTTTTCATGTTTTCTAGTTGATAAACTTGATCCTTTATGTATTTTGCTGAATATTTGCAAACTTTTTATTCTGCAGTAGGTGCTAAAAGAAAACCTTAACAATCGGGTCATAGGTTCTTGTATATAATCTGTAACTTGATATGCAACTTGAGTTAGGATTCTAATGGAACTGAAAGTCTTGGTTCTTGTTTCCCTTTCTAATCTTTTGTATTGTGCCCCTATCTATAATAACCTTATTTTTCACACTTCTAATGTAACTCCTATCTTCATTGTTTCTTACTGGCTCAGATAATTTTTATGTTCCCTTTCTGTCTCCCTTCGCTGAGGAATTCAACTGGATTACCCAGTCATTTAATTGTAAAATTTAGAAAACATTACAGATTTCTTTTCTTTTTGAACAGATTATTGACGGGGTCCATATTGGCACACGAGATGATGCATGCTTGGTTGTGGCTTAAAGGTACTTTATCGAATAAATTCACAACATTTGGTGCATAAAAGCTCAGATAGTATAATACAGATAACTTGTCACTCACACTGATAGGTGTTAACTAGCAATTAAATTCCATATAGCAGTTCAATAACCGACAGAAATAACTTGCAAAAATTGCAGAGAGACTTAGTCTGAGAGGTTTTTTTAGATCTATTGGGGTTAAAAAAATTGAGGCATGGTAGTTGCAATTACCTAGTTGCATGACTAGGTAATTATTTTTTGTAAAATCTCTTATATACTTTTATGATTGACTACTTGCACTAAAAATGTGAATTTTACTTAATAAGATAATATTTACTTAATTGATATATCTTAATTATGTGATTTTTTTAATTTTTCAGGCTATCCATGCAAGATTAAGAGAGGTGGGGTAGCTCGATCGAGTCTTCTTTTGACGAGATGAAAGAATGTGTCTTCCCCAAACTTTTATTTTAATTTGTTATAGATAGTTTCATGTATTTTTCTTTGGAACAATTAGGATATTAACTCTTGTTATTAGTATTGAATATTTGAGGATAGTGGAATTTTATTTATTGATGTTATTAATGAATGGAATTTTTATTTTCCCTTTTATTCATTATTGGGTATTTTTAATATATTTGTGTTATGAATCTTAGTGTCAGGTTGAGAATAATATGATAGCTGCCTATGAATGGAAAATTTATTATTAATGTATATTAGAAATTTATAGTCTACAATGAAGGTTTTATAAACCGTATTTTGTTCATCAACGAAGGGAAAGCATCGTCGTTAATGGGTTACTAATTACCCATTATGAGGACTTTTACGACGGTATCCAACTGTCATTAATTAGTCTTCAACGATGGGAAAATATCCCCGTAACTAATGGTAACGACGGAAAAATATTTCCGTAACTAATGGTAACGACAGGAAAATATCCCGTCACTGATGGTAACGACGGGAAAATATCCCCGTCACTGATAGTAACGACGGTGATAATTACCGTCGTAAATATTAATGACGGTAATATGTTCCGTCGTTATAAACTATATAACGACGGGTAGTATATCCCTTTGTGACCCTTTAGCGAAGAGGGCTTCAACGACGGGTGACGAAGGCGTGACCCTTTAGCGAAGAGGGCTTCAACGACGGGTGACGAAGGGATTTTTCCCCGTTGTTAGCATATAATAACGAAGGTTTTCAGCTCTTTAACGAAGGACGGGTGACGAAGGGATTTTTCCCCGTTGTTAGCATATAATAACGAAGGTTTTCAGCTCTTTAACGAAGGGAAATCCCTTCGTTAAATATGTAATTTCTTGTAATGCAATTTGAGCCTTTGATTTGACAAATCATGTGGGATAATTGATGATGTGACACCTTATTAAAATATAATTTTATCTATTAATTACTTCTAAATTAACTTATCCAATTGGTTTAGTATATTATTATAATATAAATATTATTTTAATTTATATTAAAATATAATATATTGTACTATACTTACAAATTACTATTATTAATTATTATATTGTATTGTATTATATTATATTAGCATGCTATACTATATATAATAATTAATATAATATAAAATTAATATATTTAATATAATATTTAATAATATAATATTTAATATAATACATTATTTTATTTATACAAAAATATAATATGTTATACAATAATTACTAATTAACATTATATTTATACTATTTAAATTAATATATTATAATATAGTATCTTAGGATATAATGTACTATATAAAATATTATAATATTTTACTTTATTCAATGTAATATTTTTTTAAATATAATATTATAATTAAAATATATAAGTTATATATGTATTACATGTTAATTACAATAATATATATTAAAAGATATCATGTTATAGTATAATATATTATATTATTTCAAACTATAGTATTATATTGTTACCCCCCGCTTCCCAAAATATCGGAGAATCGAAACGTGAACAAGCCCGTGACGTATTAGATTAAGGAGAATAAATAAAATTTCTCATCAACCTAATATGCTAAGCGTCAAGAAATAAATACAATACGAAGTCACAGGTCCCCGATCACAAATAGCGAGAATATAATAAACAACTCAGAACAAAATGATCCATATCATAAAAGAAATATCATCCAAGATATAATATTCGGGTCAACATGCCCTTATACAAAACTATCTGAATGAAATATTAGAGAATATAAAAATACACTGATAAAATGGAAATGAAAAGTAGTACAAAAGAAAACTGAAGACCAATAACTAAGCTTCGGCTTCTTCTTCTGCTCCATCCGCTAGGCACTCCTGTTGAGAATACTCGGGCTATGGCACATCTCCAAGCTGGACATGTTCTTCTTCTAAGTCTGACGTACACCAGAGAAAACATGGTACGTCAGCGTGCATGGCACACGACAAGATCCAACAAAAGAAATAGAACGAACGAAAACCCAATGCGAAAACGATACAACAACAAAAGCTCAGATGACGAAACAGGTCATGGATCCAAGTGGCGAAACAGGTCACTTGGTCCAACAAACCAACCCCAGGATGAAACATGCCACTGGTGCGAGCTTGGAAGATAAGTCAACAATCACATTCGATCATGCGAACTAAGACTTTCCCACCCCAACTCTTCTCGTTCTTTCTAAGTCGACGTTCATAATCCCTATTAAAACTCTGGTTCACCACCTAATTTCAGTCAACACACCCAAACATGTCACTAGGTCCATTCATAACGTACGATGCCACTAAGTCATGAACTACTAAGGATCTCAAACACAACAAGGAACAATCAATGCAACTAATCATGTGCAATAATATCATAGCATATCAGATAATCAAGTCTCTAATCATGTGCAATAATATCATAGCATATCAGATAATCAAGTCTAAGAATTATAAATCATGAACAACAACTATGTAAAGCATATCAGATAATCAAGTCTAAGAATTATAAATCATGAACAACAACTATGTAATTCAGAAAATAATTCATTTTTCAAAATAATTTCTTTTAAAATTATCATAATTTTCGTCAAATGATTCTGTTCTCAAATAAATTCTTTTTAATTAATATAATTATCCAAAAATGATTCCGCTACCGAAATAAACTCTTTTAATTCATAATAATTATTCTAAAATAATCTTTTCTCAAAATAGTTTAATAATTCAAAATAACCCATTTTCCAAAATAAATTATTTTAAATTATCTATATTAATAATTATTCAAAACCAACTCATTTTCCAAAATAATCTATTTTCTCATCATAATAATTCTAAAAACATCTCAAAATAACTACTTTTACACAAATAATTATTCCTTTAAATTACTTATCATAATATCATTATTAATATTAATCATCCACAAGCCCATGCAGATAATAACAATATCACGATATAATCTAAGCAACTAATTAATAAAGGATATAAATAATAAAATAACAAGTCAAAGGAAAGTGGGATATTGCCTCGGGTACGTCGAATGAGTCGACGTCGACTGCGCGGGTCGAATTTGGCGCGGAGAGTTGGACGGCGAAGAGGAGCACGACTGCGGCGTGGGGTGGGCGACTGCGGAGTCGGGGTTCGTGGCTGGGTTCGTTGGTGGGGTAAGGCTGCGAGTTGGTGGAGCGGCTCGGTTGGTGGCGCTCGCGGAGTACGTCGCATGATTGTAATATATTATATTATAATATAATCACATAACATAATTTATATTATATTATATTTTATAATTAAATGTAATATACTAACATATTTATTAGTTTTAATATGTTATATTATATTATACTATATTATTATATTGGTTTAATATAATACACTACAATATAGTTGTACTATTATATAATATAGTATGTGATATTGCATAATAATATATAATAAATATCATAAAATAAATTAAACTATAACAATATTTAATTTTATTACATGATAATATAATATAATATATTGAATATATTATTACTTTATATTTTATATATCATGTCATATATTTATAGTATAATCATCATGTATTAGTTAAGTAATACAAAAGGGTTTAAAAATTATCCCAATTGCCTTCAAAGTGGAACAAAATTATTCCAATATGGAGGATGAGGTAAATTTTTACTATTGGGACAAAATGTTTATATATGAGTGGGGTAATTTAATCCTAAGTGGTGAAATTGTCTCACTAGTGTTCTAAAAAACTAATAATACAGAAAGGTAATATCTTTGTTACATTGTCCCAATAAATAACACTATGAAATAGAATCCCTAAAATTATCCCATTATCTCCCAAATGTCCTAATGAATAACCCCCTTAAGTGGGATAATTGTTCCAATGGAACAATTTTATTCCTTTGGGATATTTTGAGTGGTGTAAAGTGGGATAATTTAGGATAATTAGACAATTTAATGCTTTGATTTGACAATTCATGTGGGATAATTGATGACGTGATACCTTATTAAAGTACAATATTTATCTATCAATTAAGTCCAAATTAATTTACTTAATTTGTTTAATATATTATTTAATAAGTTATTATAATGTAATACATTATTTTACTTTATACCGAACTATAAGATAATATATTATAATTACTAATTAATTATAACTATATTTAATAATATTTTTAATTTAATATAAAATATTATAATAATATGATATATTATATAATAATTGAAATAATATACAAAAAAATATTTAATATAATATTTCAATAATATAATATTTAATCAAATATTCATTTAATATTATAACTACCACAATATTGACAATATATTTAAGACTATTAATTAATATAATAAAGTATAATAGAAAATAGTAAATTATTATATAATAAATTTTATTATAATATAATTAATATATTACTATATTAAATATATAAGCACTATATTATAATATAATATTTTATATCATAAAAATACTACAATAACATTTTTTTTCTAACTACTAAAATTTATACTAAATAATATAAGTAATATTATAATAATATAATACTAATATTATAATATATAAAATGTTATTAATCAATATGTAATATTGATATATAATAATGTTATATTAGATAATATTATATAATATTTTATTATATTACGTTATAATAGAAATTTATAATATAATATAATTAAGATATATTACATTATAATACAATTAACATATATTAGATATTTAATAAATTAGTACTTCAAAATTATCCCACTTTCTTCATGATTGTCCCAAAGTTAAGAATGGGGTAATTTTTGAAGATTGGGATAAAAAGTTTGTATAAAAATGGGATAATTTTGGGAAAAGTGAGGGTAATTTTCCCAATCTCATTGTCCCAATGAATAACACATTAAAGTGAAATTTCAATTTGATTGTCCATGTGAATAGCGTCATAAAGTAAAGTCCCAAAAATTATCCCACTTACCCCAAAATTACACCAACCAATAACCCCCCTTAGTGATATTCATTGACTGGGGTTTGAACCTTTAGGCATAGGCGTTCCCAAATAGATAAAGGAGGCAAATAACTTTTTGATGTATCCTGAGTAGGGGTGTGCAACGGTCGGTTCGGTTCGGTTTTTACCAAAATTTGAACAACCGAACCGAACCGTCTATAATTTAAAACCGAACCGAACTGTTGCAAGTCGGTTCGGTTCGGTTTGTTCGGTTCTAACTTTATCAAACTTCTTATCAAACAACAAACTGTGTTAAAGAAAAAAATATCAACAAAGTAGGAGATTATGAAGCATTAAACACTGATATAATGATATTGTTTTTAACCCATAATGATCCAGAAAATGAGTTTAGAATTTGAGTCTTTGACTCTTTGGGGACGGATCGGGTAGTGTTTGAGATCAGAATGGGTAGTATTGCACTATATTCGGTCGGTTCGGGTCAGTTCGGGTTGAAAAGTTTTCAAACCGACCCGAACCGTCCTACTCATAAAACCGATTTTTTCGGGTCGGTTCGGTCGGTTTTTTCGGTTTGGACCGAACCATGCTCAGCCCTAATCCTGAGAGTACTAGTGCTCGAACACTTGCTTCCGTTCTTGATATGAGCTCCTCTAACCAAGTTTCCCCTTGCCGTTAAAACAAATTATGCTAAACTTTCACGAACTTTCAGTATTTCGTAGTAAACTCTCATGAACTTCTAGAATCACAATAAACCCCGACAATTTTTGCTGAAAACCCACATGAACTTTTAGATAAAGTACACTAAACTAGGGGTGTGCAACGGTCGGTTCCGTTCGGTTTATACCAAAATTTGAACAACCGAACCGAACCGCTTATAATTCAAAACCGAACCGAACTGTTGCAAGTCGGTTCGGTGCGGTTCGGTTCGGTTTATTCGGTTCTAACTTCATCAAACTTCTTATCAAACAACAAACTGTGTTAAAAAAATATCAACAAAGTAAGAGATTATGAAGCATTAAACATTGATATAATGATATTATTTTTAACCCATAATGATCCAGAAAATGAGTTTAGAGTTTGAGTCTTTGACTCTTTGGGGACGGGTCGGGTAGTGTTTGAGATCAGAATGAGTAGTATTGCACTATATTCGATCGGTTCGAGTCGGTTCGGGTTAAAAAGTTTTTAAACCGACCCGAACCGTCCTACTCATAAAACCGATTTTTTCGGGTCGGTTCGGTCGGATTTTTCGGTTTGGACCGAACCATGCTCAGCCCTACACTAAACCCACATGAACTTTCAAAATGCCATTCTATGTTGTTCTTCGGTTCTAATTTATGGGGTTCATCTACAAAACTCAAGAAGTTCATGGGGTTTACTGTAATTTTGAAGGTTCACGGGGGTTTAGTGTAACGGGAATGATATCATTTGTTTGCTTGGCATATTCTTAAAACCTACGCTAGATCAAACGAATGGCCCGACACAACGCTGGGATCTTCTTATTAGGCCCAAGCCCAGCAATCTAGTGTAGAATGGCCCAACCCAATAATGGGCTCGTCTTAATTGGGCTACGCTGAACCTTTCCGAAGAGGGCTTTATAGTAAATTAGCAAGAGAGATCTGCCCTATAAAATCCCTCAACCCTAAATCTTTAGGGTTTTGAACAGCCGACGAAGAGCTCCAGATCTCATTCCTCCTCCTCTTCAATCATCATCAGCCATGGTAAAGCCCTGCCCTAATCTCCTCAAATCTCCAAAAGATTCGATTTTGTTTGCGTCACTTCACCCAAAATTTGAACTTTCTTGCAAATTTTGTCGGTCTTGCAGCCGAAGCAGATTCACGAGATCAAGGACTTCCTTCTCACGGCGAGGAGGAAGGACGCGAGGTCGGTGAAGATCAAGAGGAGCAAGGACGTGGTCAAGTTCAAGGTCCGCTGCTCAAGGTACCTGTACACGCTCTGCGTTCATGACGCTGAGAAGGCTGATAAGCTCAAGCAATCTCTCCCTCCAGGTGATTCCTTTACTTTTTTTTATCCGTTAATTATGATTATTTCCCCCTAATCGTTGTTGACTACGTTCTAGTTTAATTGGGTTTCCTTGAGCGTTCTTGATCATGTCCTGTTAGTTTGCTTATTTGAAAATCGATTGTTAGTTTGCTTATTTGAAGCCCGTTATGTCCCAGTGGACTGCGGATGGTTATATGTAATCCTCTTGTTATTTTTTGGGTTATGCTAATCACACGGGTTGGGATTGCATTATGCGAGAAGAAAAGGAAATTGTAGTTTAAATACGATTTCTTGATTCATTTTCTGTTTCCTGAGATGTGTTTTAGTGTGGAGAAGGGTACTAAGTCTGTTAAATACTTTTTACAATGTTTGTTTGAGGATGACTGGAAGAAGTTATATTGTTGCTCACTCTATCCAATGTTGTTTCTACTTGGGGTAGTGTTCGGCACCTCGAAAGCGAATTGAAATGAAGTTACTTTTTTTTTGGCAAATAACTTTCACATCCACATTAGCACGCAAGTGGAATACAATGTTTGTTTGTTTGGAGGACGAGTTTATTGTTGAAAGTGTAATGTGAAGATTGACGTGGCAAAATTAGATTAATTAGTGAATGTGGTTAAAATCATTCAATTAAAACCAATTTTGTCATTTTTATGTGACTTCACCAAATTTTTTTATGGGAAGTCAAAATTGCATTAAATCCTACGTGATAACTTTTTTGCATTCGAATGTCATAACCGCTAGCATGCAAACAAACACTAAAAATGTTAAAAGAAAGTCACTTTTTCACTTTCATCCTTCACTTGCATGCAAACAAACACCCCCTTAGTTCAAAAAGACTGGAACAGTTATGCCATTATTTAAATTAATGGTCTAGAGTCTGCCATGCAATGTAAACAAAGGGCCCGTTTGGTTGTATGTTTTTACCATGTAAAAGGATGGAAAGTGTAAAAAAATGGGTCCTAATGTCAGCTTTCATCACTTTCAATTGTTTGTTTGTAGTTGTGAAAATAGTGTAAAGTGATTTCATATGCTGACGTGGCTTGTAAAGTGATTTCATAAAAAAAAGACATGATTTTAGGAGAAAGCTGATATTGAAGTCTGAAAATATAATTCCAACCAATATGATCATTTGAGTATGGACCACTTTTTACACTTTCCAAACAAACAATTAAAGTTACATTTTGCAAACCAAACAAGTGTTTTATGATTCCAATGGAATCAAAAACAAACAAAGAAAATTATAAAAGTAAAATTGATGAGGTGGACAATAACTTTCCAAGTTATGTCATAAATACACAACTTTACCAATAACAACCAAACAGCCCCAAATTAGATATTGTGATTATATGCATGCATATTGCAGAATGTTACGGAACAGTTCCTAGTGTTCTTCAAAGCTATGTGAAGTTGACGCTTGAAGTTATGTTATGGATAAGTAATACTTCTATAAAGATATAAGATCACAAACAATTAAATATATTTAAGGTTTAGAAGTACTTGCGTTTGGGTCTGTAGGCTATGTCATAGCGCTGGAATAGAAAGTCTTCACTCAGCTCTCATCATTGAGGTTCTGTTTCGATTATTCTTGAAGTTGATAGGAATCCAACTTACCTGTATTTTCATAGCTGACTTGTGAGTTGGTTACATTCTGCTGTTAATGTTTCTGGTTTCGTAATTTCTTAGTAATACTATAAATGCTTAGGTTAAATGTTTCTTAACATTCTTTTAGTTACCTACCCGAAGTTATTTTACCTAAATTTTAAATAGAGATTATGAGCTTATATTGGTGATACTGGCTATACGGGGCTTATCGGCTTTCATTCTTCTGCAGGTTTGACCGTCCAAGATCTTTGAAGCTTGGTAGTAGATGGTTTATCAGCCTGCACCGTTGGACTTTAGCATTTTCTGAAACTTCATCTGATTATGTTGGTATTCAGTACTTATAATATTTTCGCTTTGCTGGAATTATGTTTTCTTTTCCGAGGACAAAAGTTTGGTGATGATTGGAACTTCCTAGTGAGCAAATTTTGTAGCATGTTGAAGTTTTTTACTTATCAAACTCGTTTTTAACTGTTGGCCTTGAGCAGAAAGGTGGGTTGGTTATTTTGTTGCTTCCTGTTGATGTTTCTTCGAGTGATTTAATATTTCTGAATATCTTTTCTGATTGTGATTGCGGAGTTCTGGTTTCTTATTATTATAAAATTATGAAACCGAAATGACTTGGTAACGTGTGACGTTGAAAAATGTTCCAACAGGAGCTGGAATGAAATGACTTACGGTGATTTTCAGCTTTAGCGTAGAGTAGGGAGAGTTACGTTAGGGTTTCTCTCTTTTGTCTCGTGTCTTCTTTTTGCCAAGGAATAACCACACTCCTTGATTAGGGTTTAAAAACCCTAGATTTGAGTTCCGTGCATTGAGGAGGTGGTTCTGTGCCCTTTGGTAGAATAAATAGGGATGAGGTGGTTTTGTGCCCTTTGATAGAGTAAATAGGGAGGAAACGCCGACCCTAACCCTACCCCCTAGCGTGTGGGGGTCAGGAACACTTGTCGCATATGAGTAATCATTCTATCAGAACCCCACCATAGGGGGCAGTGAAATTAACTCACTGCCCCTAAGCCACACGGTTGGCAGTGGAATTATCTCACTGCCTTTATTTGTTACGATACGTGGTTCAGAACCTCTTGCAACGTGCGGGAGGTTCCGATGGGATGATTACTCGTTGCATACGGATAGATGTTTTTTGACAGATGGTATTCTTGGTCAAGGATGAAAAAAAGCAAATATCAGTATTTCATGTCTTTGTTTTCGTCGGAGATGTAGTTGGCTTCATTTGGTTGATGCTATTGATGGTTATGATGTTATATTATAAAAGAAAGAGGCTTAATCTGATGTAAGTCAAAATTTAAATTTAGTATAAATTGTTCATTCCAATTTGGTTAATAGGTCCTTATTTTCAAATACTGTTGTTTCTTTTGTCAAGATAATTTGCACTTTTCCATGGGGTTTCCACTTTTTCTTCAATAATCGTGTTGTAGTGAACACCACCCCTCTAGACTTTTTTTGTTTTACTATAACAAAGTCAACTGTTTTTTAGTGAATATTGGAGATCGGGCATTGATTTACAAGCCACTGTTTTACAGGCAAAAAAAAATTCTAATACACAGACCAAAATCAACTAATATTACAAATATCTTTGATAATGACCGTATATAGCTTGCGTCTTACGTTAAGATAATAGGTTGAAGAATGATAATGAAGGTTAAGATGATATTTTCTAGAACTGTTCATTAAAATATCTTTTGAGTTCTATTTTGGATATAACTGTGATTATGATAGCGAAGAGAAATGTTCAATAATTAAGATTTTGTCCTTGTCCGTGTATGGAGAAGAGACGTAACAGTTTAAAGTAAGGATTATGGCAGTGCTTATATATTTTCCCAAAAAAATAGATCTTTAAATATTAATTAATTAAATTTCAAATTCTAATTTTGAGAATCAAAAGAGGAAAGGGCATGCTGAATCAGTTGGGCATCAATTTTATCAGAAATAGATGATTTCTATTGTAAATTAAGAAAAGAATATACGATTGCTAACGAAAAAGGAAAAGGGCTCGTTGAATCAGCTAGTCATCAATTCTATCAGGAAAAAAAAATTAGAATTGCATCCATTCCCATTATTCGTTCAAGATAAATCATAATTGTTAACTAAAAATTCATAGGAAAAGGCGATTGCTCAAGATTCAATCTATGATTAGCCTAGATTTGCTCCTTCATATATATAGCAAAAATTTGATAAGTATAGCAATGTTTAAACTTTAGGCAATTCATTCTAAAACATGGAGGTTCTTTTTCTTGTATCTGTGTCGCTACTATCAATCTATCATGAGTTTGTTGTTTACTTTCAGGTTGGTTATAGGGAGGAAAAGATGAAGTAATTAACTTTTGAAGTCTTAAGGGGATTAATATCTCTACTAGATCACAATATAGTTTGATCATTTCATTTCAATACGCATCTTTTTTCTAGTCATGGCTTCTGTTTATACTTGTAGAATAATGAGGAATATGTAAACTCTATACTTTGTCCTATAACTTTATATTTTTACATTTTTATGTATCAAACCATTCCAACGATCACATAACAGAAGAAACACCTCCATAAATTCTTAAAAATTCCTTAATCAGAAGTTCAATCGTGATTAAAAGATATGTGAAGCATTTGATCTCGGCATGCAAGACATAAACAGATACACCTTTGGAATCAGTTATGGAAACATAAATACAATGCATGAAATAAAATGATTCAGTATGTCATCCTCAAATTTATGTGACAAAGCTTGGTAACTGTGACAGTAATACAATTACAAGGGCAGCAACAAAAGGGCAAAAAAAAAACAAAAGAATAGGAATATAATCTAGATTCCTCCCCTGGTAACTGAATCCAGATCATTACAAGGAGATGATTAGTCCCCATTCATTCATGCCTAATCCTTATTCACTCCCTCTTATCAAAATCTGTATCATTGTTAAGATACGGTTGATTAGGTTCCATCTCCTTTGACAGTATCCAAATTCTTATGAGATACGGTTAATTGGTATTAATCTTGTGTAATTTTATGTAGTCTAGACTCTTTGCATAACTCATCATGGTTACTCCAGATTTATTTCATGACCCGAGGTTCCTTCCTCTTCTCAAAATCCTAATCATATCAAAGATATTTCGCCATAACATTATCAGGATTTTATAATATTTAACTGGTTATGCAGAAGAGACCATTTTTGAATGAAACTGGATCATCAAGACCTGTCCAAGTTCCTAATTTCATATTCCTATATATGTTCTATAAACCATAACATAACTAAGTCAAAGCTTGATCCATGGTTTAGCCTAGATTCACTTCCTCTTAGCAAAATGCAAAACGCTGCAAATATAAAACAAAAATAGCCACTTGCCCTGTTAGTAATATCTTGATTTTCTTAAATATATGGTAAATAAGAATTCATCTGATATGTGCACGTATTACTCTTAGTCCTTCCAATGGCTGATAATGGTGGACTAAGACCTCTGTCATATCCAGTAAATTTTCCGAAAACGTCGTCGTTCTCACTGGAGGAAGAAGGCAAGTAATCGAACTGCTCCCATGTGTTTACAAAAAACTTTCAACTCTGCTTCAACTGATTCCTCAAAAGGTGGTTGTTTACACACACACAAAAAAAACATTATTACATCCCCAACTCTAGACTGTGTACTGTTTAACATTTGATCACATGACATTGTTCCACATGTCAAGCTATTACTAAAAAAAGTAGCCTGGTTATTTACACCACCAGCAACAAAAGATGACATGCAGCAAAACACTCCCCCCTCTGGAACAGTTAACACAAACATCAGTCCAGTAGAATAGGCATAGTAGCCTTAACTGATTGCTTATGGTGTTTTCTCCTTCTCAGTTGAAGCTTTATCGTTTCTCGCTGAAGGTTGAACACGATCAACACCAACCTATATGACAAAGGGAGAAAGACGAGATAATATACAGGTTTGCAAGGTTTAGCATAAACAGAAGGGTAGATTTCACAAAATCTCTCCAAAACTTTGGGGAGTTTCCGGTAAAACTCCCCCAAACTTTGTTTTTCCCACTAAACCCCCAAAAAAATTTCCTGCAAAACCCCCAATACTCCAAAGAGTCTCAAATGACCCCTCCAAAAAAATTAAACATTTTCCACAAAAGCCCCTAAAAAGCAAGGAGAAGAGGAGAAGATGAGCCTCAGAGAAAACAAGAAAAGAACAGAATTAGGCAGATAATAAAGTCCTCCAATTGCAAGAGAGTTTTTGTGGGGGTTTTGTGGAAAAGCTAAAACTTTTAGAGGTGAGACACTTTGGAGTTTTGGGGGCTTTGGGGGAAAAGTTTTGGGGGTTTTCTAGGGGGGAAAAGTTTTGGGGGTTTTCTAGGGGGGAAAGTTCATGGGGTTTTGTGTGAAACACCCCAAAGTGTTGGGGGTCTAGTGATATTTATCCTAAACAGAAATATCTTCAGCCATAAGACATCGTCATGTTCGCCTAATATTATTGTGAGATTAAAGTAGATGAGTCTGTTTCTTTTGCCACAGAGAAGTACAAGAAGAGGAAGGGTCTGAGCACATAAGATGTGGGTTCTTTTCTCTCTTTTCTCTCTTTTTCTTCTTTTTTTTTCCTTCTTTTGGATGAAGTTATCAGGCCCTTGTTAGTCAAAGTGATAATACCTTGTCCATGATCCAGTAGCCAACGGTTGGCATGTATTGTACCAGATACATAGCTAACAGCACAGGCTGCAAGAAAAATACGCAGAACTGAAGCGTGTCAGAACATAGGAAGGTTCATATGGAAACCACCTTTTAGTTTTAATTTATACATAAACCACCTTTAAAGTGGTTTTTTATTGCAATCAACCACCTCATAGTCAAAATTTTCACTAAACCCCCAAATAACCTTTAAAACCTCACATTTCAAGCATGTGACTCGTTTTTTTAGTGTTCAGTTCTTGTTAGGATACAACTCACGTATCTTGAATTTGAATTTTTTTTAAAGCTTATTCTCGATTTTTTATTGAAAATTTGACTGGGTGGTGGTTTATTCAAAAACCCACTTTAACCCTATTTTTAAAGTGGTCTCTAGGGGAAAACACCCCTAAGAATTTTATCTCTTCAACAAGACAGAAAAAAATATAAATTAAAATTGATCATTGTTTTTCTAGTTCAAACTGCACAACCTGCTTCCACTTGTCAATCACATTTACAAGAGAATTACCTGCTTTGATATCCAAACTTCTTTTAGTCCATGAGATGCTGCCGTGATAATTAACTGCACACACCTTTCAACAGGCACAGGTTTCTGGCAAATAGGAATTTTGATCCGTTAACAAAAAGAAGTTTTATTATCAAAATATAGTTAAACGCTTCAAGTTTCTATATATACAACTAATAGTTCTTGATAAACATGAAATAGTAAAACAGGGGATCTGCACCTTACTCTCAAAATGCAATCGAAGACATTATTTGTAGAACTCAAATGAACGAAATAGAGTGAGAACCTCTAAAACACTAAATTTGATTAAGGAATGATGATCTACCTCAGAATCATCATGTTCAAAATCTTTCAATGTGTCTACTGGTCCAGGACAAACAACAGTAACCTTAATGCCTTTCTGCCATAACTGCAAAGTATCATAAAAGCGATTAAGAGACAATATACTCATTGAAGATAGTAATGAATAAAAGATTATATAATAATAACAAACAAGAAGATTAAATTTTAATAGAACTGAAAGTATACCAGAAAAGGATTCATTCATAGGGCTTCATAGGACTAACATAAAAAGTAAATTGATACCTCAGATCGCAAAGTATGGAAGTATCCATTCAGAGCAAATTTAGAGGCAGAGTACCCTGCTTGACCAGGGTACCCTGCTTGACCAGCGATTATGAGACAATATACTCATTGAAGATAGTAATGAATAAAAGATTATATAATAATAACAAACAAGAAGATTAAATTTTAATAGAACTGAAAGTATACCAGAAAAGGATACATTCATAGGGCTTCATAGGACTAACATAAAAAGTAAATTGATACCTCAGATCGCAAAGTATGGAAGTATCCATTCAGAGCAAATTTAGAGGCAGAGTACCCTGCTTGACCAGGTGCAGGGCATTTTCCTGCAGCACTGCTCATCTGCAAGAATACAGAAGGATGATAAAAATAGTAGAAACGGAACAAGTAAGGACTGCCATATGTCTACAAGTACTGATATGAGAAAATATAATGAATTTGTTCAGTTACCACAATGAAATGACCTCTCCCTCTTTTCAACATAGATGGTGCAAGAAGCCGAGTGAGAGTTATCGTACCAATAACATTTGTTTTGAAAGTAGTCTAGAAATAATTTAAGAGAAAATAATAATTAAATAGTATTCAGAACAAGAAAAAAAATACTTAAATAAATTAAAGGAGTCAAATTTCAGATACCAGAAGACATTCTTCAGTTATGCTCAATGCTGATATTGGCTGCAAGCGAACATCTGAAGAGTGAGAAATCATTTACTGTCCATGTACTATCTTTACAGGTTAACTGCACATTGACCTCCATAGTATCGTTGTTTTGCACTTACCACCCCTGGAGTTTCTTTGTTGCAGACAGAACCCTGGGTAACTTTTCCTTTACTAGCCCTGGGTTACTTTTTCTTTACTCTTTTACGCGCGGTAAAATTTTGGCAGATATTATCACGGGGTGAAATTAGTGAGTCTGTCTTTAGTGTGAAAGAGTCAAAACAAAAAAATCAACCTACGAATTTATCTGCAACAATGAAACTACACAGCTAATAAGTTCAAAACAGCAATACTACAGAGCGTTTACGCGCAATTAACCCCTACCTTTAATTCTGACTACATACGTTATGGCATTAATATAGCCTTCAGCCCTTTAGTAAAAGATCAAAGCTTGAATGTTTGTGTAATTGAATATATAAATTCCAATATAAGTGTGTTACGGATATGTGTAAATGAAACAAAGTAAATCTAAGAAAATCACATACATGAGGATCATAGGCTGCATTGTGGACCATATAATCAACACCGGCAGCAGAGAAATAAGACTCTGCCCTCTGGACGGCTTCCTCAAGAGATACTTCCCCAGATGATAAATCCAGGGGCAGAATTTCCACTGCACAAGATGAATGTTCACCTGCAAAAAGAAGAAAGAAGCAAATAAATGCTTGAACCTACATATGAAATGCTTCTGCAAGACTATGTGTCCCTTTAAGAATCAAATATTTACTTACCAACAAGTTCAGCTTTGACTTGCTCAAGCTCGGCAAGATTTCTTGCAGAAAGTATTAGCTTTGCACCTAAGCTTGCAAATTGTTTAGCAAGGACCTTTCCTGAAATTTCATAACTGAAATATAAATAACTTATGTACATCAAAAAGTTGTAGCTTGTAGCTAAAATTGATTTGCAAAACTTTTAGAAACCTCGAGACAAGCTTATTCACCACAAGAAAATGGGAAATAATTTTTTCTGAGCCATACTATTTTGTGTTTCTACCAGTTTATGTTTCTCTTAATGTGCTAAATATCAGTTTGCCTAGCTTGAGAACATAGACCGTTGAAATAGAGGTTTGTCCTCTATAAGTTCTGAGTTGGAACTCCTGACTCGTTATACAGATATAAGACTTTCATATATTGTAAGCATCCAAATATTAGAAAGAAGTTCACCATCTAATTTTTCTGTTGAATTTGACTGAACTCTGCATTCACAATGTAGAATACACCATATATCCATCATATATCTAGTCACCTATATTGCATGCCTATTTCTTTAGACGCCATACCCTTTCGTACTTATATTGGACATCGAAACTTTAGCATACACTCCCTGGATATATGCATACCCTTATTCAAATGTGTACCCAATTATATAATACATATTTAAAATTAAAACTCTCATACACTTATTGAACATATATCCTACACTTCACGTGCGCTTCCTGAAACTCGTTGGGCATAGGACGAGTTCATTGCAGCCTGTACCTAGCTCAGAATTATGATTTTAGAGGATATTTTGGATACCAGGTTAATATCGAGTTGTTTTCTAATTTGCAGATCGTTATAATAAAAAATATATAAAAATATTATAGGAATTTAATTTTTCATGACTCGTTAATAAAGAAATATTTTTTCATCCCATGTAAGTTACTATTATCTATTGTCCATATGTATGAACACTTGTTTGTGCACCTGCCCATGTATCTTAGCTAGTCATATATCAGGATTTCAGTTTCTTTTCAAGAGAAGAATAGTTGATATTTATATATTTACTTCTTCTTCTTTGTTTCTTCTTTTTTTCTTCCTTTTTTTTGGATTAAAGGCTCTACATCGTTTTTAATTCTAAAAATATTCATTATTTGTTTAAGTACTTCCAAAGTTATGGTGAGAGTTGAGGGTGATAGTTTATATTTCAACACAGTCCCCTAGGTTGAGCGTCCTTTTTATGGGACGAAACTGGGACTCGTGCCTTTTAAAAAATCTATTTTAAATTGGTGGTCAGTGGGATTTGACTTGGATGGCTTTGATACCACGTTAAAATCCCTCCAACCATTACTAAGTTACGGTGAGGGTTGAGGGTTATATAGACTTATAATTTTCATATTCTAATATTTGCATGCACTTAAAAAGAAAGAGCTCTTACCGATTCCCTTGCTCCCACCCGTAATCCACACAACCTACCAACAAACAAACACTCATTTTCCACCTCACAAAATCATTAGAAAAAAAAACATACACACACAAAAATAAAAAATCTCACCTTCCCTTCAAAATCTCCACGCTTTGCCGGTCTCTTCGAATCCGGTTAAAACCCGAAACTAAAGAATCAAATCAGGGCTAGGGTTCGAGGGAGAGCGAAAGTATACCGTCGGCGAGGGCGAATTTGAGGGCAAGTGCTACGAGTGCAGTGAGAGGGAGAATTAGGGTTAGCATCATCTCTGATTACTTGATCTGAGAACAAATTGGGGATTTTTATGATGGAGTCCGCCATGAGAGAGAGAGATACAGAGACAGAGAGGACTTTTGTCCCGCCACGGACGAGGATTTTTCAAATAGTTTGAAAACGATTTTATGAGGATTTTTGCGTCGTTATTGGACCGTGAAAAGATTGAGATGGGCCTGGGCCCTGGACAAAATTAAAAATTTGTTTTTAAATGCGATGGTCAAGATGAGGAAGCACGTTCCTCCCTCTTTTTTTGACGAGCGGTCCCACAAAGTGCGTGTTCATTCTCCGAAGGAAAATCGTGGGGAGTTCGTCAGGAAATGTGGCCACGTCATCAACGACTTTTTAGCTGTTACTCACTCCCTCTTGTTTGTTTTCATGAGATCTTGTTGTTAGAAAATGCGATGCGGATGCGGTCACGTAGTTGTAATTTTGAGTACATATTTCCTCCAAACCATCTACATGTGGATAGTGATTCTCGGCCAACAATGAGTCTCGGGGGAAATGTCTATATCACCTGGCTAATCTATCCCTCGATGTAGGGGGGTGGAAATGAACCAAATAATTAGCAAATAGTTCGATAATTGTTTGAGTAACTATTCGGTCGTATTCCATTCAGTAGTTCATTTACCATTAAACAAATATTTTTTATTATGTCAGTTTACTAACGAATGAAATTTAACCAGGTGTATATTCGATTCGTTTGTCTATTAAATGTTCGTTTAAAATTTAATCACTTATTATTTATATTGTTGCACATATAATGTCATATTTTTAACTCACTTACCATTTCTACTTAAGTTTTATATACTAATTTTAAGACTTAAATAATTTTAAATTTGTTTTCTAATGAAAATTTTAAAATAAATATATATATATACATCATATATTATAAATCAATAATTTTTATTTATTAATTTAAATATTATTTAAAAATCAAATTCTTTAGCAGAACAAATATACTTTGATATTCGACAAATATTTGTGAATATTTATCAAATACCAAGTATTCGAGTTCGAATTCAAAAAAAACTCCATATATGAATATTAGAATCCGCATTCGAATTCGATAATTTTAAACAAATACAAATATCGAACACTTTAGTATTCGATTTGATTCGATCATTTACCACATCTACCTCGATGGTTGAGAACCTCTCGCTCATGTACCGGATAAGTCTAAGGGGATAAATGCTAGCGCCTGAATTTCAAACTAAAATAAAGGAAAGCTGAAGAGAAAGTGAAATATGTACGATATTATAATCAAGATATTTCAAAAAATCTTTACAAAATTAAAAATTCGAAATTTTCATCCAAAATTTTATCAAAAAAAGTTAGAAAAAGTCTTAAAGAATAAGTAAAGTCAAAAAAAAACGAAGGGGGGAAACAAATAATAAAAAATTGGGGTTTTCAAGCCGGATAATATTGGGCATAAAAAGAAGGGCCTGGGCCTCCTGGCCCAACTATTCAACAGGTTTATGGTTGACTAATGAGTCAATGACTCATCATGAGCCGAGGCTTTGACTTCAAAGAGGAGAGACTGGGGAGTCAAAAATGAAGAAAGCAAATTATTTTCTCTTTTTGAAAAGTGTCAGAATAATGATTTTTTTTCCCTCCACCGTGGAAAAGCTTGCGGAAAAGTTTTGAGTCATGGCGTCAAAAGAATTTCGGGGTCAGTTTTCCCACCGTATTTTCTTTGGATTGTTTCTGTGAAATTCTATAGTCATTTTTCGAAGAGAAAGTGTTAAGTGGGCCGTATCATAATTGAACTTTTTTTTTCAAAATAATCTCAAAAATCCAAAACTCTCGTAAAACATGCAGAAATTTTGTTTAAAAATTTAAAAAATATGAAGTTTTTAAAGAATTGACAGTTTTAGAAATTTTCCAAACATTAATTGTTGTGCTTATTTGCAGGGCCATGGAGGCATCCAACGGTAATTATGATAGAAGCATTAATTACACTTTAACCGAATATTTGATTAAGTCATCATGTTTGGATTTCAATGATTCGTAGATATTTATTGAATTTAAGAATTTATGTGGGATATTGGATCTTAGGCCTAAACGTTGATTGGGTTTCAAAGGAAGGGTTGAACAATGTAATGACGGGTAAGATGGCCCTAGGATACATTCTCTCTTGACTCTGGCAAGTCACTCAAAACTGGGTCAGGTCTGATCTTGACTCGGTTCTATTCTGAACTAGTTTTTAGTTTGGTTTGGTAGAGAAGTGGTCTAAACTAATACTAATTTAATGGCTACTTATTTAACCTAAACTATTTGGTTCAAAAGTAACAAATTTTTTGCTAAATAGAAAAAAACTCAAAACTGGATCAAATTGTGGCCCAGCTGTCGAAGGTCGCCCAACACGTCTAGGCTTATCAAAAGAAAAATTCCCTAAAAATCCAAAATATAAGATCAACAGGATGGACAGATGAGATGTCCACGTGTTGTAAAGCCTTTATCCAAAAGAGGCATAGCGCATACAGTAGTATTTGTTATAATTGATTTAATAAATAAATCAGTACCCAAAAGAGGGAAAAGAAAAGATTATAAACTCAACCCAAAGCGTGGAATTGACTTGGTGAGATTAGCAGTTGATTGGTCACTTCAGAAAGATTCGCCCATCCATTACAAATCTATTGATTTTATTAATCAAGACATCAACATCAAGAATTTTTTTCATCAACCCCCGTGAGAGAATCTCTCACGCGCGTAACGCCAAAGCCAAAACCGGCACCATAAAAATATTACATTTATTATCCCTAGCTTCAAGCCATAAGTTACAGCCCTACATAGGGCTTATTTTATAATTTACTCCTTAATCCTCTTGAGTCTTTAGGTTATGATCCTTTATAAACAATGGAAGTTGATAGCCTTAACCAACAAACTAGAAGATAACATCACAGTTACAATACTTGATAAGGACTTTATATCCGCCAATGGATCCCTATTTTTATTATCAGACCTATAAATTGTATACAAATTAGTTTTGGATACCATACACAAATTGCTGTAAAGATAAATTTTAAATCATGAGCACATAAATCTTTTCAAGATCCCGACTAACAAAGAAAGATTTTTCATTAAAAAACAAAGAAAGATTCATATTAATTACAGTGTCATTTTACAAAGTAGTTGATTAATACTTTAGTTACTAAAATATTATCTAATAAAGAAAAATAACTACGTTATATATGTTAGGACTGAGTCTGTACAATAGCTCTTGTTTAAGTAATAACAAATTCTTATTTGGCGCTGATGATTGTTTAAAATGATACAATACATGTGAAAACAGGTATACAAAGAATACGAGGCGAAACAATGTGAAGATCAGCACGAAAGATGAGTTCAGCCTGGACCCATCGATGAGGTCAAGAACACATCAATGGGGTTGAGGTCTTCAATGATTTATAGGAACAAATTGTAGATTTTGAATAGAATCCAACCCGTCAATGGTGCTCAGGGATTCATTGATGGCCGTGAAGGGCCGGCCCATCGATGGTTAAGACCGCAGGTTCTAGAATTGTTGATTTAATCACACCGGCTGTTGATCCTTTTCAACTCCAACTTCGACTATGATTAGAATATTTCTTTTGTGGTTAATCAGAGTCTATATAAGATTGAAAGAGATAAATTTGAAGAAGAGGATTCTAGGGTTTTGAAGAGAGCTTGAAGAGAAAAATTCTAGAGTTTCTTTGAAGAAGGTTGAATTGGTGTTTTGAACCCCCTAGAGCCTCAACAGACTCTTTCTCGTCGCACTCATCATCTTCGGATCATCTCAGTGAGGAGAGTTACCATTTGTTTCATCATCCACATTGTTATTCAGCAAGCTTCACTTTGATTCATCGAATGATGAGTTGTTGAAAAGAATTGTAAGATCTTTCTTATTTTTTGTGCTCAAACTATGTTTATTGGTTTGTTTCAAGCTTTTTTTTTTACGGCGTACTCAAGCTTGGGTGAAGTGAGGGTTAACGGCGTACCCAAACTGTTAGCTTGACTCGGTCATGGTGACCAAATCAACGATTCTCAGTAGAGAGAATTGTGGATCGTGGAAGGTTTGTTGAGAGAAAATCTCTCATTGGGGCGGATCTTGGGGGTGGAGTTAGTGGGTTCAGCCCCTATAAATGGAGGAGTAATTCTCCTTGAGAAATAACAGCAAAAGAAAGTGAAAAAACCTCTTACCCATTAGCGGAACCCCCCTCAAAATTTGTTCTTCCTTCTTCTCTGTTTTCATTCACTGGTATCAGAGCCAGAGCTGCGACGACGAGAGCTGCGACGTCGACGACTGAAGGAGATCGGAGGCCATCGGTTGAGCTCAAGATTGAAAATTTTTTTTTGAGAAGAGAGAGAAGCCGAGACCATTGTTGAAGAAGAAGAAAAGTTGGGTTGAAAAAGAAGAACCAGCAGCGACAATTTTGAAGAAGAGAAAGTAGCCTACCCTATTATCTTTCGGTTAATAGACAACCTACTCTCTTTTGTCCACTGTAGCTTGTTTTTTTTATATAGCCATTGTTCATAGCCTACCCTAGTACTCTGCAACTAGCATTTTTTTTCCATAGCCAGCTCAACCCTATTGTTCACTAGTCTCCCTACTGTTTGCTAGCTTATTAATTGAGCCTAGTTAATCCTTCTGCTCAGATCCGAAAAGCCTTGAGTGACTAGTAAACAACCCATTTTTATTTCTCAAAGCCTTGAGTGTTTATGTTGCCACGCCCAATCCAAGTTGGATTTTAGAAACAAAATTGTTGGGCCTTCTAGTTGGGCCTTGGGTGTCTAGTGCTTGTTGGGCCTTCTAGTTGGGCCTTGGGTGTCTAGTGCTATTTGCTGGCCCGGCTGTTCCAAGTTGATAACCTCCAATCCAGTCAGCAACGACGTCGAAACTTCGACAACAGATTTTTCGGTCAACACCTCTAAGTGACGGCCTCGCTTTAATTGGAGCCTCTTTCATCAACTCGGAACAATCAGGTTCATTTTTATTTAATTAATTTATTTTTTTAACTTTATTATTATTTAGTATTATTGTTAAAATATCAACCTTATACAAATTTTTTTAAAATTAATTTAGTTTTAGTTCTTTACCGAATGGCTAGTAAACTCGTTCTATCAGAACTAGGCAAAATTGATAAATTTAATGGCAGTAATTATGATATGTGGCATAGAAAAATAGGATATGCTCTTATTCATGACAACATTGATGATATAATCGAAACCACTGCTCCAACCCTTACTGATAAATCTACACCTGAAGAAAAGAAAGGGTTTGAACAGTGGAAGTCAAAAGATAAAAATACGAAAAGTCTTATGCTCATGTTCATGGAAGATAATTTAATCAAAGTTTTTGAAACTTATAAAACTTCCATGGACATGTGGAATGCAATAAAAGAAAAATACGACACTGCTTCTGAAGTTAACATCCAACTACTCTTGCATAAGTATAATTCTTGTCGTATGCAAGAGGGAGACAATGTCGTAGAGCATATAAATAAAATGATTGTCATGGCTAAGGACTTATCCACTGCTGGGACCGAAATCCCGGAAAGAATGCAAGTGGCAACCATTTTGAATAGTCTTCCCCCTTCACTTGCTGTGGCTGCCACCACATTAAGAATGAATCCTGCCATTAAGTCTGTCACTGATCTTCCTATGCACCTAGCGATAGAACAGGACTTAATAGCCAGTAGGAAGGAACCAGAACTGAATATGATGCAGCAAGAGCTGAATTATGTCCGCCAGAGGCATAATGCTGGAAGTTATAAAAACCCTGGTTCTACTAAACCACAACCACGAGGACCGAAATCGCAGCAGTTCAAGAGAAAGAAAGTACCCCGTGGAGCCTGCTACAATTGTGGAAAGTTCGGGCATTTCAAACCCAATTGCCCACAAGGTGAAAAGCAGGAGAATAAGGGAGGCTATAAGCATCCAGAATAAGGGGGTACTAGTAAAAGAGAATTTGTCGGTGTGACGGAATATAATGCTGTGATGACGGGTATCAGTGGTTGGTGGATCGACTCCGGTGCGACTAGGCATATCGCAAAGGACAAGAATGGAGTCGTAGAATTCACCGAGCTGAAGAAAGAAGAACAGAGAATCTATATGGGAAATAATACCTATCTCGATGTAGAAGGTATTGGTTCGTATAGATTGGATCTTGGGGACAGCATTCTTG